TAAAATGAGAAGTCACAGCTACGATGGCATGGACATGTTGCAAAAGCCTCCAGAAAGGAAGGCTAAGCAACTGTCTTGCGAAACCGACTGGCAGAAGGTCCAGGGGACGGCCAAGATTAACGTGGTGCACGTATATGCAAGGAGTGTTAGACTCCATTTGTTTTCTGTCGAAGATCACTCTGGCACAGGAGCGGAAACGTTTGTAGCACTGCCTGACTCCTCGAACCGAAAGAAATGGTCAGGGAAGATGGGAATACAATCATGCAATTCCACTTTCGTGGAGTGAGCAGGAGCCACTCGTACAAAATTTTTGAACGTATCAGAAACGATGATCCAGCGCGTTTTGTTAGCATAATGGGCTGGCGACATTTAACCCGTATAGAACATCAAGGACGCATCCTCATACCTACTACTGTATGCCTCCACTGCTGTCAGATGCGTTAGTACATCACAGCAAGGTTAACCTGTCCCTGGCATCCTTAATTCCTGTGAAGCTGTAGTTCTCGTTGTCCTTAGAGGGGAATAACGTCAGTACAATTACGCTTCATCAGCAGTACGTACTTGTTCAATCAATATTTTTATCAGCAATGACTTTTGTCAAGCTCCTCAATGAAACATTCAGTTGGCTTATCACCATCAATCTTTAAAAATTTTATACCACGTCCTAAATTTCGGAAACATCGCGTAGTATTCAGTTTCCTTCCATTTTTGGTTCCTTATGATATACCTTTGCTTGCTACATATTCATTTGACCGGTAAGTGGCATATCATCACTGAGAAACTGACAGATCGCCTTTCAAAACACAACTGAGATCTTCGTTTTTTTCTTTATGGAATGTTTCTACTTTACAATAACTCGTGTTCATCACTCTCAAAATGAAGTTTGAAATGTGTCGTTCTGTTTCCTCAGATTGCAGACGCTAGTAATTCCAACTTATCTGATAAAAACTTTCAGGTTAATACCACTGAACAATTTTGTAAAAAGATTTACTGTTTAACTGATAACACTAAATGCTTCTTCTTACCACTATCACCCATAAGGTATCATTGTCAGGCATTTTCATCAATACATATACAACACAGAACAGATATTAATCACAGACACCTCGCACTGACAATGTTAGATTGTTTACTGCATACCCATGACACAACCGTGTTAAAAAAGGGGATCATACGAGAGAATCATACTTTCTCCAGTTCGGTGGAAACGTGCCTATAAGGAAACTGGAATCGTTGAAGAAACTCATAACCGGTCACAACATTCCAAAACAAACTATTAAAATCATTCTGCATGTTTTCGCAGCAAAACTCTTCCCTTGACCACACAGAACGTACCTGCTTTCTTTAATAAAAATATTTAAGGCCAAAAACAGGTTGGGAAGGAGGGAGCTTAGGAAGGAGAGAGGGTAATGTAAGTAAAGTAAAGGGATTGTTCATAATAAAGGTAAGCATGAAAATAGTGGGCTTCCCGTGTTCCTTCTTTTGGCCCTGCAGATAACATGAGTGAAAAGGTGTGCTTGCCAATGAAACGTAGAGAACTTCCTATAACTTTTAATCAGACCTTCGTCAGGGACGTAGGGAGGATGTTTTCTGAAAGGCCGCGTACCAGAAGAAACGATGGAAAGGTATGGATAGTGCCGATGGAAGGTTTTGGGGAAGAGAAACGGGGCGTTACGGCACCTGCTCATATTATCCAAAGTTATTGTTTCAAAAACAGTCAGATTTAGATATGTAAGCTAATAAAATATTCGGAATGCGGATTCGCCCCTGTACTTACACACAAAATACAGCAGATGAACCTTTAGCCAGAGAAAAACTAAACGATGTAATACGAATTGCAGATCACCTACAAATGGGGATATTCATCGTGTACTTATACAAAAATGTAGTGGTACCCATCCTTTACTTCTAGACGAAGTGCAACAGCTGGATTTGTATCTAGCCAGAAGAAAGCTTAAAGATCTAAACCAAATTGCAACTAATCGCCTACAAAATGACTGTTGTGAAATATTTAAGTGTAACCCACAAAGTTCTTGCCTTTGAGAATTCCGTAATTGCTACGTACGCAAGAGGTCACACAAAAAAATTGTACAAAAGAAAGTGCGGTTATGCAAAACGTATTTTGACTAATCAGCTGATTTATCAATACCGAATTTCCCCACATTTTACGCACCTTCATCTAAATTGATGTTCCGAAATCCTTCTTTTAATCCGCAGCAGTACATCCATCTGACCAGATCATTTGCGCTACGAATAAACAAACCTTATCGCCCACTTTCAGTCAATCCATGCAACAACGAAATGAACATCTGATTCAAACTACAGAAACCTACCGTTTCAATTTTCTCAAACCAAGTGATTGAGAGACAACCAGACATTTTACTGGCAACTTAAATTCCACCAGCCATACGGCTAAAAGACTGAAGCGTGAATACTGTGCATCTATTGCGGTCGCACAGATTCACTGCAAAACCAAAACTGAAAATTCTGATAAGAATGCGTCTGCTTCCTGCATAAAGCAGTATATTCTTGCGATAAAACTGGTTCTCATCGCAATGAATACCACCGAATGAGTCTATATTGAAACAAGTCCAAATTGTATACAGATCTGAAATTGTAGTCAAGTCACCATAATTTTCGACACTCCACCACAGCACTGCTTAACCAGCGTCACGATAAGGAATAGTTAGCATTGACACGTTGATAACGAAGCGCCAAGGTTCTGAAAACTCCATGGAAAATTTTCGTAGATTTTATCCTTGACCATTACACCTAATTTGCTCGCTGTCTTTGGAACGGCAGTTTCAGAAATGCAGGATTATATAATACGAGAGTATACAGTACATTTACTTCGAGACATTCAATCAACCATGTTGTAATATATGCGCAATCATCGTTACCCGGTTTAAAGGTCGAGAATCACCGAACCGTAACGAGAAACGGATTAGCAGGGCAGAAAAACGTTCGACATACCATTAAAAAAATACAGCTGATGGAAAAAGCCGGCGTACTTACCTCATTACGTCTTTGCAACTGAAACTAGTTCACTGATGAACGTGATTTCTACTCTTCATCTAAGCAATACCATATTCAATCAATATAGAAATGAAATTTGTGATTTATTCATGCTTGAATTTTAGATCTGTTTAAATCATTCAAGTTGTCCTTATGGCGTCTAGAGTCAGCTACGAGCGAATTTGCAAAGCAACTGTTCTCAAAAATTGCAAGTTTTATCAAAAATTTGATCTCTGAAGATTACACTGACGGCAACAAAATCTAAAAGGTCTAAAATTTTTACAAGATCTAAAGTTTTTAAGTGTGACCATTGTAACACAAGTTACAAAACGGTCGGCAGTAATGCACAACAAATTTTGATATCTACCAATGCTAATATTTAATATACCACATTCGCTACTTTATTCTTCATTCATATCAAATGATGTAGTACCATTTAACCACTGCTGCAAAAACAGCCCTAAATTTACGGTACGTCCAAAGAATATTGTCGATGTGTACATTTATGCTTTTTACGGCATACTCATAATATTCGCATTCCCCCTGAGCAACATCATTAAACGCTGCTGATGCCCTCCCACATGAACAATTATAAGGCCAAGATAATGGACACATGATGACTTCCAAATAACAGCGCAAACCAGCAATGACAACGAAATACTGAGAAAAACTGCCATTAACTTTAGAACCGGCGAAATGATTTCCTGTTTTATATTAAAAACTTTCTACCTGCAACACTGTTGATCATAGCGTACACACTACGAACAAACTGGCAACCGAATGGACTTCAATCTTCAAATTGATCTTCGCTTTCATTACGAATACGACTTCTATTACGATTACAAGAAACGTACACAAGAACCAGAAAAATTTAATTACATACACATTTTGTACAATCACAAATTTGAGCAAATCTTCATCGGTGCCAAATGTCAATTTCTGGACTACGGTCATAGTTATCACTTTCTTCCGCTTCGTTTCAACGCTGAATACGGAAAATACAGCATTTGACAAACATTACGCACTGACTTTTATAACTGTAACCTTTCCACACCGATTTCCTTTCAGGGTGTTCACAAATCGTTCACCTGACGCGAGTGATATTCGCCCATCATCTGAACATAAATCAGTCGCTTACGAAAAGGTAACAAGTCAAATACGCTTGGAAAACGAAAGAACGCATTACAGCAATAGAGCTGAACACAAGATTTTTGAGAAACTGATCTTTACCAGCTTTTATATAGGAGCTGAATCATAACCAGATAGGTGTAATAGAGGTTGCCGGCCGACCGACGAGGCATTCGCAACGAATGCATTCACGTCGTCGTCGCAGCTGCGACTACATGTCATTCTAAAAAGTTCAGCACGGTTGCAACGACAAGCCTCCACAAAATCACTAACCAACCCAAACCACTGAGCAAACGAGGGAATGAGTGAACTAACGCGAGTGACGCCGGGCGTTTAACAAAAGTCGTTCGTCGAAGCTCACTTCACCGTCACCGCCAAATGGATCCATCGCTAACGTTACAGCACAGGCAACAAGCCCTGAAAATCAACAAGTTATTGCCCGTCGTTTAGCGTCCCGTTCGTCTTCGGCGCCTCCAAGTCGCCGCTTCCGCTTTTCTTTAATTTCTTTACCAATTTGCGTGCATAGCTGCCTGATCACACATTCTGTCAGTACTTCCATTCGCAAATCCTCCACTTTCGAGCTACGAAAACTTCGCCGCTTACGTATTGAAACAGCTAGCATCCTTTTCGGGGAGAAAGTTGAATCACAACCGTCCATCGCGAAAGAATACACGACAATTGACGTAAACAGCTTCTGATAACTTCCTTTTGGGTATTGTACCTGTGAATCTCAGCAAACCTGGAAATCCTATTGTATTTTCCGGGCAATCACGGTTCACAATGACTCAATGACGTGCCGCCGTAAAACGGTAGCGACAATATATGCAAAAAATCTTTATAATAAAGTTAAATAATTGATTTAGTCTCGCATAAAGATACATTATGTAATGTAATCTGCTTGAAGTTAAATGCGGCGACTGAAATGATTTTAAAAATTAGGCTGTAAGATATTAAAATGTAAGCACTTGCATCGAAATTGCGATGTCAATTTTTAACATGTTTGGGTATCCCTTGGATTTGTGAAGTACATTCGATGAATTTTTCCGCTTCCATTTTCCCTAGAATGCAATCAGTTACTTGCAGAATAACACGAAGGAAAGAGACGCTGAAATACAGCACTGTAATATCTCAACTGCTGTACACGTACGACCTAAAGCTGTATGCTAGATTGGTCAAAGAGCGGATAATCTGATTCAAAGAGCACAAACAGTTTAGGAAGATACCAGGATGGAACTCGACTATAAATCTACCATGGCGGAAGTCAGGAAGAGAAAGATTTCGGGAAGTGACAGTGTTCCACAACCGACTAGACTGGTAAAATAACAATCTTTGAAAAAAGAAAGTGCTGACTCGGCGTGCTAAATCTTGACAATATATTAAAGAAACAAAAAAATTAGCGAAAGTTACGGTATACGCGAAGAGAATCCGCGGAGTCCTGAAGAACAAATGTGCGAGGTGATCCAAAATGATGCCCATTAGCCGTTCTGTTCTCTGGATGTGGATGGCCTCTGCAAACTAGAGCAGCAGGGCAAAAACGGCAAAGATGAAAATGGTCAAAAAGTGTGGAAAACCCGAGTCAATCGTGGGAAGAAAAGGAGCTTTCGCCAAGGCATCGAAGATGCACATTCATCATGTTTTTAGCTGAATGTCAAGAAGTGAAATCCGCTGAGAATCAGGAGCCTTTCAAGTAGCTGACCAAAAACAAGCGCCGAATGCGAACTCATACAAAGCGAAGATGCTGCACACGGTGTCAGAAACAAAGCGCAGAATGTACCACGTGCACGACGAGTCCATGATCAATGTAATTTCAGACTGCAGAATGCCAGTGATGCACTTTTCGATGCTCGAAGAAGGTGTTCATAATAGACAATCCGCTGTTTGCACAAAACCGCAACA